ATATTGTTAATTTTTTAATTTTTTTCTAAATTTTTTTAAAAAATTTCTTTATTTTGTTACACAAGATCCTGCGACATGATTGGTAAATTGTGGGTGGTTAAGTCACCGGGGGGGCAAGTTAGCAACATTCATTTTTTAATATTAATCAAAAATAGAAGCACTGTGTAGCAAATTAATATTTTCCTGTAATTGATATTAAATATTATATATTGTTTTGAATTAATATCTATAATCACAGCATGTCATGATAATATATTTGACTTAAAGGTTTTATATTTTAATACATAGTATAAAAGATATTTAAATCAAATTAAATCAGTATCTGGTACATTGATAATAATATATACAGAAGAACAATTTGACTTTTGTACAGTTTTTATCTCTAGTCAAAAAGTTGTGATTTTCAATCCGGGTAACCCGTTTGAGAATTCCAAATTCGGATATATACAAGATCCTATAATTTTATTGGATCCGAACCACGAATTTTAGGATCGGAAGTGATTTTAGCCTGAGATTTTCTCAATATAAAGCACTCTATATAAGTGGCAGGCCTAATATCTATTTGAGATTTTGGCATGCCATAGACATACCTCAATTGGTATGCCAATGAATGCTATGCCAGGTACCCTACTGCGATATCGGGCTTTGCCAAGTTGTGGCGGGATTTATGAGATGGGGGAAGAAGATTGAAGATCAAGGAACCCAGTGATATCATATCTTCATGATAATCACATCACATGATTAGTGTTCGGGTTAGTGTTAAGGTTAGGTGATAGGCTAGTTTAGGCTAATTTGTTTAGTGCTAGTAAACAAATGACATAATTGCATGATTTCACGTGATGTGATGATCACTGGGTTCCTTGTTCTTCGGAGAAGATTTCCGGAATTCATGGGTCTGTTACACTTCCACGAATTAATGCGGTCCTGTGATTTGCACCCGAGTAGATATAGTAGATAGCGAAAAAGTAATGCATTTACGATAAGTTATAGGAAATTACAAAATGATTGTCGAAAATGAAGCAAAAAAGAAAAACAAAATAACGATATTTAATATCGTATCGACCTTTCACAGAAACTTGAAACATAAGTCGCACACTCTAGATAATTATTATCATTACGTTATTGTTTAATTGTAACAAGTTCCCAACACTGTTTATCAACCCAACCTCTAAATTTTAAGCCAAATTAATGTTACAAATAAAACCCCAGCCACTTTAAAAGGAAGTTCATTTAGCGTAACTACATTACAAATTTTTACATAACCTCAAGCAGATGAACAAAGTCATTCTCGTGAAGAATAAAAAAGTTCTGAGATTTAATAAAGTCAGCAGACGTACCTAAATAATGTTTCAAAAATTCCTAAATGAAAAAAACGGTTTGATCAATATATTGAAATATATTGGAGTTGAGAATCGGAACCATTCATAGATACAGTAGGTCAGGTCTGACTTTGCATATTTTTTCGTATATGCAAAAATTTACTCTGAAAATAGCGACATATTACGGAGATTTTGTGACAGCTAACGAATTATTCCTATTGGGGTGGGTTTAAATTAATAACAAATAAGTGGCGCATTTCGAAAATAAATAAGATTTTTTTTCAATAGTGTTTTACTATATTGAATTATAAATCGGAAAATAAAATAAGATTCTGAATTTAATTTTGAAACCCCATTGGTCAAGCTTACGAAACTAAACCTCTCATTTGTTGCGACTGTTCCGTCCAACTTGTAAACAATACATATAATAATAACATTGTCTTTATAAATGCGAATTTACTTTGACATTATTTAGAAGTACCCACTAAAGTGAAAACGTGAAATAAGTAAAAACAATGCAATATACTTAAGGTTCATTACTGTTAACAACATAATTAGAAATACATATTTTATTTATTTACATCCCAAATCTGTCATGCTTGGCATTCTAAAATTAATATGATGCTAACTTTATTTACTGGCAAAATAAACGGTCATGTATTGTTAATTACTAAAAAACATTTTCCGAATAAATTATCCCATGATCATCGCACTTTTTTTATTAAGATTTAAACTAAACCAACAATGACGTCAGGGAGATCCCGATCCTTTGTGGCACGCATAAAAATATAAAATGAACTCTTGACAGTCGTGTCTCTCGTCTGTCCTTTAAGTCAAAGCAACATCATCTACGCAAGATGTTCAAAAGCGACGACCAGAATTTAGTTAATAACTCAAGTGTTATGCCATTGCTAGAATCCATGTCCTCCAATGTGGTAAATGCCGAGCCTAAACAAGACCAAAATCACCAAAATCATAATAATTGCACCCAAATTCCCCTCAACGGTCGATGTGATCGAGCTTATCTCTAAAAAATCCCGATAGCAGAATTCCGGCAAGAGCACCTAATGCATTTATAATTTATAGAAAAGTTTATGTAGAAACAACTCGTGAGAACGGACATTATTTGCCAATGACTATTGTATCTTCTATGGCATCACAGAGTTGGGAATCTGCTGATGAGACTGTCAAAGCCGAATATCGTCGAATAGCTAAAGAAGCTTTGAGGGTACATAACGAGATGCACCCTAAATCTGGAAGAAGAAAAAGAAAAGATAGATGGAACATCGTTAGTTTCGATCCGCCAGCACCTCCTTTAAAAAAAATGAGAGGAGACATAAAAATAAAAATCTTAATACAAAAAAGCATTAAAGAGATAATAAACAATAAAAATATTGAACCTAAAGATACTAAACCTGTTATCTTTGTTACATCTTCACATAACATAAATTCTACACTTGACTATCCTTTAAAATGTATTCAAACACGACACCCGTATTTACAAACAATCCTTCGAATCTCGATTCATCTATTGTATCTTCTATGGAGTCACAGAGTTGGGAATCTGCTGATGAGATTGTCAAGTCGAATGGCTAAAGAAGCGTTGGGGTTCACAACGAGATGCACCCTAAATCTGGGAGAATAAAAAGAAACAAGAGAATAAAGAGAAGAAACAGGCCAAATCAAAATGTTATCCAAGAAAACTTAACACCGAAAAAAACATGTATGCTTTTGTGCTATAATTTATACATTCACATGGAGTGTTAACATCATGAATTTTACTGTAAATAATTAGTGTTAGAACTGACG